AATAGGTCAACAAATGTCCCCTTGTATACATTCCAAAAACGCAGAGGACTCAATTCCAACCTTTGTTGGTGATGGTCTAATAATTAACTTGCCTTGATAACAAGAAGTGCAAGAAAATTCATTATTTAAAAGAATCTTTAAATTCTTTAATGAATGCCCATTTGAGTTTTCTATAATTCGTCTCATCATAATTGATCCAGGGTGTCCCAATCGATCATGCCAAAGTAAAAGTATTGGAATCGGTAACCTTTTGGTTTACAATAGAATGTGCCTCAATTGCACTAATTCTTGTCCAATACAGGCCACAAGACAAAGATGGGAACTTCTCAATAGCCTTTTTCTGGGCAGAGACATTTTTGATAATGATGAGATATTCAAGATGATTCTCATCTATTGTCTCAATATGATATCCATTTCGGTGGATATCTTTAAAACTCAACAAGTTCTTCTTGGACTTGGAGGAGAACATTGCATTCTCTATGATAAGTATTGTTCCCTTAGGCAGAGTTATAGTAGCTCTTCCAGAGCCTTCAATTAATTTACAACTACCAGAAATTGTAGTAACATCTGCCTTATACATATTTAAATGAGAGAAATATTTCTTCTCTTTGAATATTGTATGCGTCGTACATGAATCAACTAAACAAATATTTTTACAATTGAAATTTGATTCAAGTTTGCTTTGAGAGATATCCATATTTGCGCCACATGGTTTCACATACAAAAGAAATATACGAATAAACATTAGTATTTTCAAAGAAAAGGAAAAGTAAACAAAGTTAAGTCAATGATTCAATAATGACTTTTAAAGCAATTTCAAGCAAATTTTGATTTTGATACAAACAATTACGTAGAAAAATAATGCAGTCATATACTACTAAAATCTTGTTAAGTAAAGCTTCATTCGATCTAGATGGCTCGTAAACAGTAATACATTTTAAAAAGGCCTAATTACTGAATGTGTTTTTGTATTATCCACAGTTTAATTTTCAAAGATCATGTTAATAGATAGTAACTAAAAATTACAAATTTAATGATTGTAAAAAAGAAATAAAAACGGGTACTTCCCTAGGTTATGTCACACTTCACTGCCACTCTTTCAAAAAAAATTCATTCAATTCCTTTCTAATTACAATTCTCCCTCTATCCCAAAATTAGTAAAAGACAGTAAATGCTCGCCCTCTTAGAAACGGGATTTTATCGGAAGCAATTATTTATAAAATCGCATGAAATGTATGTGTATTTTTGCGGCGAGATTTATAAAATAAATAATATTGTTTTATACTAATGACTACTACTCATGTAAAGAATTGTAATTACATGATGTTTATTCACTAACTATTAAAAATAGGCAAACATAAAAGTTGAACTACTCAATCATCTTTAACCACGGATCCATTACCGATCAAGTGGTCTATTTTTCCATCAGGGTGCTCAAAGAAGTATGCCACATCCAAGTGGGTGATGTCAAAATCATTGTGAGAGACAAAATTGGCTTCAAGCCCTTTATTCTTTAGAGATGCTTGATAAAGCTCAACCAAATGTCTTGGTGTACGATAAATATTTGCCCAATGGCCTTTTCCATCGCAACGATAACATTCAGTTTCTGAATCATTTGCCTTTGGCTTCTCATTTTTCCCTTTCCATTTTGGTGCTTATTTTTCTTTGGGGGGTGATCAACACCAGGAAAATTTCTTCCTTGTCCACGACCACGACCACGACCACAACCACGAATAGGGCCACGACCTTTTCCACGCTTAGCATAATAGGAATACACCTCATCCACTTCAGGCAATGGTGTGGACCCAGTGGGTCTATTTTCGTGATTTCTCATGAGCAAGTCATTATTTCGCTCAGCCACAAGGAGAAGAGAAATCAACTCAGAGTATTTTTTGAAACCTTTCTCTCTGTATTGTTGTTGCAAGACCATATTGGAGGCATGAAACGTTGTGAACGTTTTTTCAAGCATATCATAATCAGTGATAGTATCTCCACAGAGTTTCAATTTAGAAGTAATTCTGAACATTACAGAATTATATTCAGAAACAGACTTAAAGTCTTGGAGCCTCAGATGAGCCCAATCATATCGTGCTTGTGGAAGAGTGACCAACTTTAAGTTGTCATATCTTTCCTTTAAGCCATTCCACAAAACAAGTGGATCTTTGACTGTGAGATATTCTATTTTCAACCCTTCATCAAGGTGATGACGCAAGAAAATCAAGGCCTTAGCACAGTCTTGGGTGGATGCTTTAGTTTTGTCTTTAATGGCGTCTCCAAGACTCATTGCATCTAAATGGATTTCAGCATCCAACACCCATGTCATATAGTTCTTGCCCAAAATTTCAAGGGCAACGAACTTTCTTTTCATAATATCAGTCATAATTAAAAGAGGAGAAAAATTGTACTTTAATCTTCTTGAGAAGGTAGAGTCTCGTGCTGATAACGTATTATAAAACAATAAAAGAAGAAGAACAATATTGCAGAGAAAGAGAGAGTAATTCTTATTGAATTTTGGGATGATTTACAACGGGGTAAGACCTCTCTATTTATAGGGGAAAAATGACTTAGCCACAAAGTAAAACTCTCTATAAGATAGACATTCACTCTAAATAGAATTTTATTCGTAACATTTACGGTTAGTTAAATATTTATATAAAAATTGAAAAACTTAGAAATTCTAGAGAAAAAAATTGAACACCTCAAATCGTAATCACGTCAAATATGGTCTAAGTAACACGTGGAATCAAAGAGATTATAAATACTCATGCATATATCCACTCGTTAATTTCTTCCTTCATTTCATACATTTTACGTATTTGCATCATCACAAGGAAATCTGTAAGAACTCCTCATCTTCAATTAATTTGCGAAATCAAGAAATTTTATTTATTTTTTGATTGTTGATTGCCTATGAATTTCCAAAGTTCGTCTTTTTTTTTTTGTTTTATTTTTCTTTTCAGAAAAAGGGAAAAAATGTTCTAGCTTTTGTGATAGAATTTTTTCAGAGATTTGTTGGTTTTTGGTCAAGTGTCAAATCACAGCTTTCGTTTCATTGTCACTTTTAAAATTTAGGAATTTTATTCTGTGACCACTAATTAAATTTCATTTAAAATTGAGGGATCTTTTGGCTTTGAATTCGACATACATTCATTTGGCTTAGTTATATTTCTTGCCTAATTTACTTGCTCAATCATACTGTTTGAATTGCAAGGGCAATTTTTTTCCGACTTAATTTAGTATTTGAAATTTACTGGCCCGACTATCTCTTCAGTGGAGCGTGTTGATAGAAAACGTGTTAACCTCAGTGTATAAGTGCAAATATTTGATTTTATCTGGTTCTTCAATATATGATATTAATTTTTTTCTTTTCCCTTCATGACATTTTCAGGTACTTGAGAATGGGAGGTGGAAAGGATAAACATGCACACTATCCTCCCGGAGGACAGTATCCTCCGGGAGGGCAATATCCTCCAGGACAGTATCCTCCAGCACCCGGAGCTCACCCTCCACAACCTGGAGCTTACCCTCCTCAACAAGGATATCCACAACAAGGTTATCCTCCTGCACAAGGGTATCCGCCTGCAAGATATCCTCCACAAGGATATCCGCCAGCAGGTTACCCTGGTCAACCTGCTCCACACCATACTGGTATTATTGCTTACTTATTTTACATGTGTCTTGATAAGTAAATATTCTAAACTATTCATGAACATTACAGCAAAAATCGTTAAAATATTTATTGCTCCTATAACTCAAAATAAGTAGCTGTGCAACAACTATAAAATAGGAGTTAAGATAGAATATAATATAGAATAATGATGTACAAATAAGAACCAATTGCAAGGAAAATGCAGAATAATATCAATTGGGAAGTAATACCTCCACATCCAAATCCCAAAGTAAAAGTAGGAAATTAAATATATCAAGTTAGGACTATTGCATTTAGTTGTTTTGCAAGATCTTTCCCCCTCCCTAGTCTTTCTCTATATCACTTTATCTAATGTTTAAAATGTTAAAAAGTAAACTTATTCTTGAACCATGTTGAGTCTTTTATACCCTTAATCACTTCATTCAAAATTTGATGCTTTTATTATTTAGTTATCATATCAGCAATAGTGAGCAGTATCATAAGCCAAATATTTAACACTTCAGAAGACAAATTCTGTTAATTAAATCAGAAATGAGGATAGCATGTCAATAGTACTATATATTAAGATACTTGTTATAACAAGGCATCAGTAACTGGCGGAGCTCTTCAGTAACGTGATCCAGTATTCTCAATGAGATTTATATGTGAAAACCTACTTAAATTTCTTTAGATATTAAATTCAAACTTATAATTTTAAAAGTACAATAAGTTCAGTATTAAGGATATTAAATAATGTCGAACCTACCAAGTTCTTTCATTCATGTTACAGAGACTATCCTTTATATAAGTTATGTTCATCTTAAGGATTGAGCTTCTTCGGAGTATTCGTTTATTCTCAATAATACTATATATTGAGATACTTGTTATGTTCAGGTCATCAGTAGCTGATGCAACTCTTCGGTAACGATTTCAGTCTAATCCAGTATTTTCAATGAGATTTATGTGTGAAAACCTACTTAAATTACAATAAATATTAAATTTGAATCCATAATTTTAAAAGTACAATAAATTCAGTACTAAGAATATTAAACGACGTCAAACTCATCAAGTTTAAATTTTAACTTCGCCTGTGCAGGGCACGGCATGATGGCCGGAGTTGCAGCTGCTGGAGCTGCAGCCTATGGTGCTCATCACATGGGACACGGCGGAGGCCATTACCCTGTACCTGGTACTGCTCATTATGGACATTATGATCATGGAAAACATGGAAAGCATGGCAAGTTTAAGCATGGCAAGGCACAAGGGAAATACAAACATGGCAAATTTGGCAAGAATCATGGTGGCAAATTCAAGAAGTGGAAGTAAATTAACTAGTCATAGGACTTCAACTAACTTCATATTTTGCTAGGTTCTACTCTTTTCTACTTAAATAAGGCGTAATGTTGTTCGTAATAGCCAAAAAGGCATTAGAAGTGCTTTTTCTTTTAATTATTGTTATATTTTTCACTTAGAGGGGAGTTTTAGCGCATTTGTAATAGTTGTTCTAGCGTGACCTGAAGGTCGGGGGTTCAAGCAGTGAACATAACTAAATAATTTAATTTCAATTTATTTTTCCTTTGTTTCCCATAAAAAGTGATCGACCACATTTTTTTAAAAGCAAGGATGTTAAATATTCGCAAAAATATAAGTCAAAAGTACCCTTCTTTAATAGCAAAATCAGATTAATGTAATCTTAACTTGTTGAACTATAGCATTAGATTATTCTTTCCTTTTCTTTATGGCTGGAAAAATCCAAATTAAACCAATACTTCAATGTCAAATCTGTATATCATAACTAATAAAATAAGGAAACAAAACTTCAATTTCACTCTCATAAAAAAAACTAAGTCTCTCAAAATGGCTTATTACCCTTACACCAAAGTTCAACTTTCATTACTTATTTTATTATTTATCAACATTGTGCAAATGGCGACGACGACGACAACAACAACAATAACTTAAATGGGGTCTGGGGAGGGTAGTGTGTACGCAGATCTTACCCCTATCCCGAAGGGGTAGAGAGACTGTTTCCGAAAGACCCTCGGCTCAAGAGAACAAAAGGACAAAAGCAGAGAATATTAGTATCACCACAGAAATAATAAGAAAAAATATGAACATGAAATCCAGTAGAAAGATGCAAAGTAAAGCGATAGCTATTAAATACGTCATGCACTGAAATAGTAAGACACAACAATGACACTAACTATCTTAGGTAAAAACTCTACCAGACTAGTCTCGCAAAGGTATAAGTAAGACAAGACTCAATTACCTCCTAACCTACAACCTTAATACTCGACCTCCATAACTTCCTATTGTGCAAATGACAAATGCTTTTAATTTAAATCCAAAAATTACCCTTAGTTTTATAAGTGGTCTCCCTCAAAATACTCCTTTACTCAAAGTTCATTGTCAATCTGAAGATGATGATCTTAGAGTTCGTACACTTAAAGTTGGTGACAAATTTGATTTCTCATTTCATATGAATTTTATTGGGACTACTCTTTACCATTGTAGCTTTTCTTGGGGTTTAAAGTTCAATAATTTTGATGTTTTTAAACTACATAAGAGTTATTGTGGAGGTAAGATTTTCAAGAATATTTATTGCACTTGGTTGATCAAGGATTCTGGTATTGATTTGGCTCTTGGTCCTAATCCTTCACCTAATGACTTCAAATTTCTCTATCCTTGGTTGTAAAAAAGAAGGGATGTATTACATTTCTTTGTTAACTTGGAAATATAATGTCTTTATATATAAGAAGTAATTTATCGTATACTTATGTCGTATCGGAGACAACATCTCTACTTGCACAAGGTAAGAGTAAGGTCTGCGTACACATTACCCTCCCCAAACCCCACTTGTGAGAATACACTTTGTATGTTGTTGTACTTGTATGCACACACCCCTCTCACTACAAGAATGACAAATTTTGTAGCGATTAAAGCCTCCAGAGAAACTGAAAAAGTCATCACAAAAGATTTTTTTGTGGCTGAGTAGGTCGAGGTTGAAAATTGGGGGGTCGTGCCCTACCTGGTCAGCCTGACCTAAATTAAGGTCGTTAACTATGAGAATCCTTACTAAATGCGACTCCATGAAAAGTTGACTCGAAAAACCTCATTTCTTGTTGTGTCGCTCTATTATTCTCTCCGTCTTTTATACACGTGCAAATACAAAAAAAGTTGCACAAATCTTACTTGATAAAATTAATTTGATTATAAACGTTTTAGCTTGGTATGCAAGTGTCAAATGCTTAATAACTTAAATTCTTCTACATAGTTTAATCTCGGTCAAGTACCTGTAGATTGTGAATATCTAGGTGTTAATTTGAGACTAGATTAGCATCTGCAACAGATTTTAAATTTTCATAAATCACTATAATTTAGAGCCTAGTAACTTTATAGTTTGCCTAATTACCATTCGTAGTTGCTAGTCAATTGTTACTAATTTATATCACTTGTATTCAAACGTGCAACGAATATATCATGTGTCAACTGTATTCATTCGTGCAACGAATATAATGTGTGTCAATTGTATTCGTTCGCGCAATTATATTCATTCGAGCAACAAATATAATATGTATCAACTGTAACCAAGGCGAAATACAAAGGTGTATACAAATGATATAACTTGTATCAACTGTATACTTGGTGTATACAATATGTCTCAACTGTATTTGTTCGCGCAACGAATACAATTGAGGCGAAATACAGAAATAAAGAAAAATAAAATATTCTTGTTAAGAGTCAAATCTCAAGACCTTTGCTAATTAAGCAGGCGCTCTAACCAACTAAGCTACTAGAGCTTATTGCTCTCTTGTTTCACTCTTGTTTCAGTTCAAAACAATTAAGCTCTTATTTCATGAATTTGCTTTAAAATTAACATATAGCTGCAGATGGTAAATTTGCTAAAAATATAACTACAAATGATAAATATAGTATAAATATTTAATGTACCGCGTAATTTTCCCTAATTGAAACTTCAGTTTGCCATTAGGCAAAGTGAATTGTATAGCCTATTGGGCCAAGCCCAAGAAGGCCGAGAATAAGATTTTGTAAAACTCAAGCTGGGCCACCCAAGAAGGCCCCGATCTTGTAAAGCTCAAAGCTTCTGATTTCTACCGAGATCTTTACATAAATAGCCATGCGGATTCACTATTTAATTTTCTAATATGGGTGGAACAAGGTGTTGAGTGGGCAACTATTTAGATTAATTCTTCATTTCTTTTCTGATAATTAGCAATGAGTAAATAGCCTAATTTTCTTATTTCAACTTTCGAGGTTTTCTACTCTTTCAGATCATCCCCAAATATTATTAGCTTTCATGCAAAAGCAGAGCTAAGATTTGAATCTTATAAGTTCGGAATTATAATCCTCTTAAGTTACTGAATTCTAAATTAATAATTTGTATATATTTATTGAATTTTTTAATAGATAATTTAAATAAAAGCTATTGGGTTCGACAGAATTCGTAACCAACACAGTGTCTCCACCCCGGCTTTAATGTATGTCACAACAATAGGAATTGTAGGAAAATAGGTACCACCATCAACCTCTCTTTGGAACTATTATTAGATTATGACATCATTTCCACGGACTCTTATAAGGCTATTTTTTAAATCCATTTGTCTAATGGGATAAATTTCGTTTTTAAAAGTAATTAATTAGTTAACCAGTCTTTTCATTTTTCTGAGAAGCATTTTGTCATTATCCATAGTCAGTTAAAAAGGTTAAATGGCAGTGTTCCCGAATGTAAGAAAAAGCCTTATTATCAGAAAATTTATTTAATTTATGTCATCTTACAAGTCAATGCTTAGACTTAAGAAGATAAATTGATTATATAATTTTTTTAAAAAAATAATAAGAGTTGAAATTTCCCAAGGCCACTCATGCAGCAGCACCTGATCCCATGAACCTCTTCGTTGGCCACCAAATAAGTAACATAAATTTAATTCTTACGCGATCAAAATTAATGTGGGTCAATAATTTTTAAATAATTTCTAATAATTTAATAAATCGAATCTTCCCAAAAAAAAAACCCTCTAATCTCTTAAGTCCACTATAGCCTCATAAAATATCTAATTTGACTTTAATTGAGTCAAATCGAACACTAAACATTGCACTTTGAGCTAAATTTACCATCACCGGCTATCATAAGGATCCTCCACTCTTAATCAGAGGTTTCGAATTCGATCAAATTTTGGAATAAGAAAATTCAGAGAAGAAGCATTGTCAGAATTCCAAGGCGTGTACCGAACACCGGATAAAAAATAAAATAAAAACATATAACATGAACCTATATACCCCTATGATGATTTACCTATTCCATCTTAGTTGCTAATATAATATACGGAAAATGGCAAAATATACCCATGTACTATCAGAAAAGGTCTAAATATACCCATCGTTATACTTTGAGTCCAAATATACCTCTGCCGTAATACTATTGGTTCAAATATACCCCTTTTTTGTTATGCTTGTCCAAGGTGGACATCCAATCCTATGTGACAGTGACTCTAATATTTGATGAGGTGGATGCCACATGACTTGCCACCTCAGCGCCCCTAACCTATTTTACTCCTCACTTCTAATTTTTTCACCACTAATATTTCCTTCCCCTCCACCACTATTGCCACCATTACCGCTATCATGAAAAATATTGTATTATAAATTTTAGTCTTTTATATATGGATTAATTAGGGGCGCTAAGGTGGCAAGCCATGTGGCATCCACCTCATCAAATATTAGTACCACGTAGGATTAGATGTCCACCTTGGACAAACTTAACAGAAGATAGGTTTATTTAAACCAATAGTATTACGACAAAAGTTTTGGACCCAAAGTATAACGAATGTTATATTTAAACCTTTTCTTATAGTACATGGGTATATTTAAGCATTTGCCGTATAATATAATTACCCCTTAAAACAAAAAATAAAATAAAATAAGAATTGAAAGTAATTAAATTAATAAGCATGGTTAGTTGTGGCTTCACTAACTGTTAGCGTACACCAAGTGGCATTTGTTGGCTTTGACTCATCTCCAATATATATTTTCTAATTTGTTTATAGTTTATTGACAACTTGTTTATTGTTATTATTATATTGTAATCATCATCATTTTTTTGTTTACTATAATACGTTTTAATTAGGTTTAGTCTATTTCTAGGTTTACTGTGTAGATAAATCTCTCTAGACTCATACAAGTGGGGGGTTTTTTTTTTGGTCAAAGAGGTTGAACCTCACAGGTCGCTAATTTGCATTTTCATTCAATTTATTATTATTCTTTCTAACAATATTGGTAAAAATACTATACAGTCATCACAAAAGATGCTAAATAAGATAGCTAATTGATGATCTTATACTATAGTAAACTACGGATTTTGATTATTATCCGATGAATATTATTTGGGCCAACATAAAATTTGTAAAATGAATTCAACTATTTTAACTTTTAAAGCTAAATTAATTCAACTATTATTTGGGCCATATCATTTTTCTTATATCTGAATTAGCAGGCAGAGGCAGAGCTTAGATTTCAACTTTATTGGTTCTGAATTTTAAAACGGCAATTTCAAGTG